CCCCAAAAGCCACTCTGATTCTTAAACCCGTTGGGTGTTGCTAGGATGATCTGGAGGCAACCGGGTGCACGTGCTCTTTCAAGATATTCGACGCCATGTGGGATATTCCAAAACATTGCCGATGCGAGGAACCATCGTATGAATAGTAGTGTTTGTAACCGATTAGGGAACACATTCATATTATGGTGTGCGCTCTTTGTGCAATTCGTATTGTCATATGGATCTGCCCGATGGTATCCTGGACAAAACCGAATACACAACATTTAGAAGCCTATCCTACCAAACAATTTTGAAATTACTAGTGATGATGGCGGCGGCGCATTGTGCGGTGTGGTTCCCCCATGGTCATCGACGAATACCGGCAATCCAGAAACGATGCCTAGAAGAGTTACTTCGATCAGTGGGCAGCTTGCAAAGGAAAAATCCTCCACTGGAGGCCTCTTGGACCGTCCTGGGAACTTACCCCTCTCCCCCTACCTCCACTCTGACACCTGGACCCTACCTCCACTCTGACACCTGGACGGGGCCGGTCGCGAGGTGTCAGGGCGTCCAAACGGACATGGCGAGAAGCCTAAATCATTAGTTAGATTGAAGTTTGGGCCCCATTTTGGCTTCTTGGGATGGCAGCCCTAATTACACTTTCCTGCTCCAAGGGTCACAAGAGCACTTGAGGCGCCCAAAAGGTTTCCAAAAGGCTCCCAAAAGACCTCCAAGAGGCACGAAGAAATTCTCCGAGGCACCCAAAATGCCCTCAGAGATTTTCTGGATCGCCAAGAAGAAACCTCTCCCCGAAAGTGAAGAGGAGCAGATGGAAGACAAAACACCCTAGACCACGTACGATCAAGCGAAACATATTTGTTTTTTCCTCGCACGTCTGCTACCGCCGTCTCCGTTGTCATTGTTGCGGTCCCCCGCCCGCCCTTTGTCGTTGTCGACGACGTTTTGGTCGACTTTGTCGTCCGCACCGCCAGGTAAGAATGAGGAGCTAAAGAAACAAGTGGAAAAGAAAGAAGCAAATAACAAAAGGCGAAAGACAAACGCCGAACATGTTGGATATTTCTTTTAATGCGTACAATCTATAATCAGATAATGCTCATCTTGGGTCGTACATGGAATTCCCACTACTTCCAAGTACCAGGAGCCAAACGACTCAAAGGTCTAAGAATCCCACCAGCTCTTTAGGGCGTTCAATACAAACTCTTGGGCGGGAAACAACCCAACATTTCAATTTGTTGTATTCTATGTTCTTGGGTTCTGCCGCAATCTATCATGTTGTGTTGTTGCGATTTTCCCTATTCTCGCCGGGCCGGTCTGACGGACCATCCACTTTCATGCGAAATTTAGTCGGTCACCGCTAGTTTCGATAGACTAATAAAAATCGGAAATCGTGTGGAATCGAAACGAACATAAATTGGAAATATGGGAACAAATAAAACAACGCATGATCCCGGAATGGGTGAATGTCATCTATTTCCGAAACGGGCGGCTTTCGTTTTTCGGGACCGAACTTTATTTATGGAATGGGCAACGCTTATTTCCAGAATAGGCGTATCCTGTTTCCGGATTGCTACAATGTGTCCGGAATGCTGTAACTGTGTACTGGACGGCTGCTCCGGAGAACACCCCACAAAATCCCGAAAACTTTGTTTGGAACACGCTGGCTACCTGTTCCGGTTTCGCTCAGAAAATCTGTCTCCCATATTGTGCGATTGCAACATGGACTGCACCGCGTAGATGGCATTACGCACAAACACACACATATGTATGCAAATGACAGCCTCTAGCCGAGCATGGCCTAAGATAGGCTCACATTGTGCTTGGATGGGCTGGTGGGGAGTCGCGAAACGTCAAACACTAATTTACCAACTCCAGACAACTCAGACGCTAATACCGCGGATCAGATGCGAAACCAACGCTGACGGATAAAGAGACGCCGCCAAGGGTTTCAGCGCAGATCGAAGACGTCCGCTCGGAGCTCCGAACATTTATGTTTATGTAACTGTTTGTTCCCCAAGCATGCCTCATTCGCGGCGATAGCGGCCCATGGAGGGAGGCGAAGGGGGGGGCGGCTGGGAGGTATGACGTAACGCCCCTCCCGGACCGCTGTGTGGGTCACCAAAAACGATGGTACTGGACGCGCTGCGGCAGCGCCGAGGGCGCACTGGGGGGGAGGGGGAGCGCTATATTATGGGGGATGGACGGGTGGAGGGGAGGGAGGGGGGGCCACAGCTTATGATGACTTTGACCACCACAAAGAATTTCGAGCACCAAGGAAATACCGAAACTTGAGGGTTTTCACTTGTCAGGCCCTGGGAGGCGATTGTCGTTCGACACTTCGCCAGCGTGTCGGGCAGACACTGTTTCGATAGCCTTCTAGTGCTCGAAATTACTTCTGTGGTCCAGTGCGACGGGAACAACATACGGCATAGCGCGCGTTATGGCCCAGAGGTGGTCGGGGAAACGTAAGACTCGGATTCGGGGGACTTGGGTTGGCATGACAGGGCCAAAATGGCTGGTTGGTTTGAAATTTGACGCGGGCTCCCGCTGCAAACATCCCACGAACACTGGAACGTCAAAATCCAGAACGCGCTCGTCAAAATCGTCGGCAAACTTGATTTCTGGCGTACTCGAGTCTTACGTTCCACCGAGGAGGAGCAACCTTCCACAAGAAACCCAACCCTGAGACCCCAGGACGTCCATTGATTTATGTAGCGTTAAAACGTCACGCTTCCCATAGCAAAACCATCGAGACCCAAGAAACAAAAGGGCACCCTGGAGGCAAACAGGGTGCTTCTTGGCATGGGTTTCCGCTGTAAGGCATTGCGCGCGTTATGGCCCAGAGGGTGGAACAACAAACTCTCCACAATGAAAATGACGAGACCCAATCTGCAATTTGACTCGAGCTCCCGCTGCAAACATCTCACGAACACTGCAACGTCAAAATCCAGGACGCGCTCGCCAAAAATCGTCGGACACCAGGACGTCAATTGATTTTGGTTGTGGGAACGTCACGCTTTGCATAGCAAAACCATCGGAGCCCAAGAAACCCAGGGCACACTGGAGGCAAGCAGGCTATTTCTGGGCATGGATTTCCACTGTAAGGCGTAGCGCGCGTGATGGCCCTGTGCCCAAGTGAGTGTGACGGGAGGAGGACGAGGAGCAGGAGGAGGAAGAGCAGGAGGAGGAAGAAGAGAAATATGAGGAGGAGGAGGAAGAGGAGGAGGAAGAGGAGGAAGAGGAGCAGGAGGAGGGAGACAAGGAGGAGCAGGAGGAGCAGGAGAAGCAGGACGAGGAGGAAGACGAGGAGGAGGAGGAGGAGGAGGAGGAGGAGGAGGAGGAGGAGGAGGAGGAGGAGGAGGAGGAGCAGGAGGTTGACTCTGAAGAGGACCAGGCGCTGCTCCGCTCTTGCGGGGGCCCCAACGCGGCAGGCTGGCAGACCGCCTCGCCCGGCGAGCGCGGGCAGCAGCTGAGCGACCCTGACTTCCGCTCAGCGGCGCGCTGCCTGCTGGGCCAAGACGCGGCGCCCGCCGGGGCCAGCTCTTCCAGCTCCTCCTCCTCCTCCTGCTCCTCCTGTTCTTCCTGCTCCTCCTGCCACTCTTGCTCCTCCTCCTCCTCCTACTCCTCCTCCTCCTCCCTCCTCCTCCTCCTCCTCCTCCTCCTCCTCCTCCTGTTGTTCCTCCTCCTCCTCCTCTTCCTGCTCCTGCGATCCCCAGAGCGCGGTCTGTGGGCGACCGCGCGCGCCCCCTCTGAGCACCTCCACGACTGACACGAACCAGTTGAGCACCTCGACGATGTACCCCTGCCTCCTCGCAGCTGGCGCAGTGCCAGCGCCAGCGGTCCCAGGCCGGCACTGGCGTCTGCCGCGCGACCCGGAAGCCGCATTCGGCGTGGATCCGCATCGAGGCAAGCGGCACGGCGGCCGCGCGCCCGGCGGCGGGGGCGGCCTGCGCCAGCTGCGGGACTGCGCTGACAACCCGGCGCGAGGAAGCCATCCACGACCTGGAGCTTCAGCGGGCGGACGTCCCGCGTGTGTTCGCCGACGTCACCGTGCGCTACGGTGTGACCGGCGGCGCCGACGGGCTCCGGGCCGCCGCGGCGCGCGATGGCGCCGTCGCCAGGGCCGCCGAGGTGGATAAGCGCGCTCGGTACCCCGCTGGGCGCGCGCCCTGGCGCATGCTGCCACTCGCGCTTGAAACGGGCGGGCGCCAAGGCCCGGCCGCCCTGCGCCACCTACGCCGGCTGGCGCGGGACCGCGCGCAGCTGCTCGCCGCAGACGACCCAGCCGCGGCGGCCGCCGCGGCCAGCACCCTGGCGCGCCGCTGGGGTCGGTGGCGCTTCAGGCCGCCACGGCGCGCCAACTGCGCACGGCGCTCGGGGCGGAGGCGGAGCGCCCGCGCGCCCGGGCCGCCCTGGCCGCGGAGCTGGCCGGGTGAGCGGGCGCGCCGGCGCAGCTGGGGTACATCGTCGAGGTGCTCAACTGGTTCGTGTCGGTCGTGGAGGTGCTCAGAGGGGGCGCGCGCGGTCGCCCACAGACTGCGCTCTGGGGATCGCAGGAGCAGGAGGAGGAGGAACAGGAGGAGGAGGAGGAGGAGGAGGAGGAGGAGGAGGAGGAGGAGGAGGAGGAGGAGGACGAGGAGGAGCAGGAGCAGAGGATGAGGAGGAGGAGGAGGAGGAGGAGAGGAAGAGAGGGAGGGAGGAGGAGGAGGAAGAGGAGGGAGGGGAGGGAGGAAGGAGTAGGGAGTAGGAGTAGGAGTAGGAGTAGGAGAGGAGAGGAGTGAGGAGGAGGAGGAGGGAGAGGAGGAGGAGGAGGAGGAGCAGGAGGAAGAGGAGGACGAGGAGGAGGAGGAGCAAGAGTGCCAGGAGGAGCAGGAAGAACAGGAGGAGCAGGAGGAGCAGAGGAGGAGGAGGAGGAGGAGGAGAGGAGGAGGAGGAGAGGAGGAGGAGGAGGAGCAGGGGGACAGGAGCAGGAGGAGAAGGAGAAAAGGAGGAGGAGGAGAGAAGGAGGAGGAGGAGGAGGAGGAGGAGGAGGAGGAGGAGGTGCAGGAGAGGAGACACGGGGACTACCTCGCCAAAGCGGGGACCCAACACCACAAGATGCATGGGAAGAACGCTCTCTAACAGGGCTTTCGTCAGCCCAGGAACCCGCTCCACGCGCGGGTCCGGCGCGCGCCGGCGCGCGCGCCACGGGCGGCCGCCGCAGTCTGCGGCGCCCCCAGCAGCGCCGCCGCGACGGGGGCACGCAGGGAGTAGACCTTGGTGTCGGTCGCCGCCACCCCCCCACCTGCGGAGCTCGGCACTGCTCCTCCTCCTCATCCTCCTCCTCGTCCTCCTCTTCCTTCCCCTCCTCCTCGTCCTCCTCTTCTTCCTCCTCCTCGGCTCAATGCCCCTTTCCTTTCCTCACTCCTCCATCGTTCCTTCTCCTTCCCTCTTCTTCCCTCTCCGTCCTCCTCCTCCTGCTCCTCCCCTGCGGAGCTCGCCACCGGTCGGACGTCCATTCCCCGTGCACTTTTCGGTTTCGTGGGTGCCAGGATGCTCCTCGATGGTCCCCCCGCCGAGAAAGAACGCACACGTCCAAGCGATGCCAAGGGAGTTGGCATGAAGGAAATCCGCATCGTGAGACCGAGCCCCATCTTCGCTGGCGTGGCCTTGAACCCACGGACAGATCTGTACCCCCTAGAGGGGGGCAGACAGTGGCATTCCAGAAACATGGCCTAGTGCCCTCGAGGGCTAAAGAGTTGCCACCTCTTCCTCGGCGCAAGGCCGGCGGAAACACAGAAACGACGCTGCCGCCTCTGCCGGCGGAGGGGCGGCGGAAGCGAACCAAAAGAGCACAGTTCTTCGAGCCAGGGTGTCCGGACTCCGCCACGTGCTGTGCCCTCCAGGCTTCGCGGGGCCTTCCTGGGGGGGCGGGATGGTGGGGCCGCGATGCCGTGGCCCACTGGGGATGGGGAGCGGTGCGACGATACCCAGGAAGCGGGCCCTGGACCCCGAGGCCCTCCTCCGAGCCCGTGTTCCTCTCTCTGCTCTGGGGAACGAGCTCTCCTCCTCCTCCTCCTCCTCCTCCTCTTCTTCTTCTTGTTCTTTTTCTTCCTCCTCTTCCTCTTCCTCCTCCTGCTCCTCCTCCTCCTCCTCCTCCTCCTCCTCCTCCTCCTCACTCCTTCTCCTGAGACCTCCTCCTCTTCCTCCTCCTCCTCCTCCTCCTCCTCCTCGCTCTTCCTCCTGCTCTTCCTCCTCTTCCTCCTGCCCTCCTCCTCCTCCTCCTCCTCCTTCCTCCACCTCCTCCTCCTCCTCCTTCTCCTCCTCCTCCATCCCGAGTCGCTTCCTGACAGTCCTGGGGCCCGTGCGTAGAGGACTCCCAAACTGGGTCGGAGGACCTCGCCGCGTCGACGATGCATCGGCGATGCGTCGGCGACGCTTTGGCGACGTCGGCACGGCCAAATCCGGCTTCTACTTCGACCCCCATTTAGGGAGGGCCCCACCCCAGGGCCCCAGACCAGCTCTTCGTCCCGAGCCGTTTCACGACAGTCCTGGGGCCCGTGGTGGGCCCGGAGGAGGAGAAGGAGGAGGAGGAGGAGGAGGAGGAGGAGGAGGAGGGGGAGGGGGAAGGAGGAGGAGGAGGAGGAGGAGGAGGAGGAGGAGGAGGAGGAGGACTAGGACGAGGAGGAGGAGGAGGGGGGGCCCGCAGAGAGCGCGGGGAGGCCAACGCGGGGAAACAAGAGGGCAGATACCAAACACGCGAGCGCAAACTTTTTCGGAGCTCCGCGCGCAGTTCCCTGGATCGGCGTTGGACCCCCCTCCCTGGCGCGCGGAGGGCCCCCGGAGGCCAGAACAAGGGGGGTGGGCCCCCGTAGAGAGCGCCGGGAGGCCAAAACGGGGCAACGAGGGCAAATACACCGAACACGCGAGCGCAAACTTTTCCGGAGCTCCGCGCGTAATTCCCTGGATCGGCGTTGGACCTTCCCCCCCCGGGCGCGCGGAGCGCGCCAGGGGCGGCGCAGGGCGGCCGAGCGCCGATCTAAGAGATTTGCGCGGAGCCTCGACAAGTTCTGCTCATGCCGCCTGCTACAGTGGAGGCCCGACCACAAGGAACATCCCACAAGAAACCCAAGCCTGAGACCCCAGGGCGTCCCTTGATTTTGGTGGGGGGGCGTTACGCTTCCCACAGAAAAACCATCGAAACCCAAGGCACCCTGGAGGCAACCAGGGTGTCTCTTGGCACGGGTTTCCACTGAGAGAGATCCGCGCGGAGCCTCGACGAATTCTGCTCATGCCGCTTGCTACTCTCCGAGGCCGTCCCCAGGGCCCGCTGCAGACGCCCGCGCGTGAGCACACAAATGGCCACCTCAAAGTTTTGGGCGGTGGGCCTTGCATCGAAGAGGAGAAGGAGGAAGGAAGAGGAGGAGTCTAGACTAGCCAGATGTAAAGGGTGAAGAATGGAAGCGAACTTTTTGAGGCGGTGTTGGAGGCCTCTTGCGCCATCGTGAATTGCCCGAACCTCGAAAAGTGGAGGGCCCCACACACATGGAAAACCCAGAAGGAATTCATAGATTTTTGCCCTCTCGAAGCACTCGTCTCGTCTGGGGCCTCGGGCGCCCACTGAAGACCTCCTGGAGGCCACTTGGGGCAACACAATTGACATTCCCGTTCATGCTCCCCCTCTTGAGCCCATCTTGGGGCCGTCTTTAAGGCTTCTTGGGGCCGTCTTGGGCGCACCTGGCTGGGGCCGTCATGGAGCCCTGTTCGGCCGTCCCTGGGCCCTCCTGGGGGCCTCTTGGCCCATCCGGAGGCCTCCTGGGCCGTCGTGGATTGCCAGAAGCTCGAAAAATCGAGATCCACCAAAACATTGAACAACCTACAAAGAAATCGTACACCCCTGCCTCCTGGGGCCTCGGGTGCCTACTGACGCCCGCCCGGGGCCGCCCCAGCGCCCCCCGAGGCCCCCGGGCAGCCTCTGGGGGCGAAAGAAACAAAACATTTGTTCATGCTCCCTCTCTGGAGGTCATCTTGAGGCTGTCTGCAGGGCCTCTTGGGCCCTTGTGGGCGCCCCTGGGGACGTCATGGAGCCCTGCTGGTCCGTCCTGGGGCCCTCCTGGGGGCCTCTTGGGCCGTCTTGGGGCGGTCTTGTGGGCCTCTTGTTCCGTCTTCGAATGTCGTAAACTTGAAAAAACGAGGACCCCAAAGCAAATAAAACAAATCAGCGGCTTTTGCTTACCAAGGCACTCGTCTGGGGCCTCGGGCGCCCACTGAAGCCTGCCTGGGGACGTCCTGGCGCAGCCTGGAAGCCTTCGGAGGCCGTTCAAAAAGCATCTTCGGCGCTCTCGGGCTGGCGGTCATGGGGGGTGACCCAGAGGGGTAAAGAAAAACGCGATCAAGTGGCCCTTCAGGGACCCTTTTGGCGCCAACTGATGCCCAAAAAGGGGTTCTGAAGGGCCACTTTAGGGCTCTTTTCTTCACCCCCAATGTGGGTCCCCCCCCGTTACCACCCGCTCGAAAATGGCCGACCTGGGGCGGTTTGTGTCTTTGCTTCGTTCTCCAGAGCCGCTTCGGAGAAGCCACCCGCCCGACGTTCTCGGGGTGGGATGGACCGGTCCGGTGGACTGTCGTGCCAATTTGTGGGCTGTCTGTGCGCCCACGAATGGAGGCCACGACGGCGCTCGTGGGGCCCCCGGAGCCCCCCATGCGACACGGGGGCCGCGGTTTGGCACCCGCCCCCAGACTACTCCGATTGATCGATACATATGTATATACATATAGACAAATAGCTATTCAGATATACATATTTCCCAAAGTCAGACATTTCTAGGTGTATATCTGTGTATATACGTATACATATATATATATGAACCGACTTATATACATACTTGCATATACATAAATCGCTATGTCTCTATATATTTATATGTATACAGATAGATAGGTATCCGCCACCGTGCCACTGGGCACAGAGTGGGCGTGTCTCCAAGTCCTGTGCTCAATCCCCTGATTCTCAGTCCTCACCCCTGAAGCATCTATCGGGGGCCCGGAGCCCAAATTGCCAAATCTCTCGGGGCTTGGCGCGGCTCCCCCGTGTCTTGCCGCGTAACCTTTCGGGGCCGAGAAGGCGGTCCGAGAGGGCCCTGACGAACGATTGCTCCAAGACGACGCCCCAAGAAGTCTCCAAGAGGCCTCCCACGAGGGCCCCGAGAGGTACACGTTCTTTATTTCCCTTAGCTTCTTGACAAACCAACGATCCCCCCCAAGGCACCCAATATCGCCCCAAGACGGCCCAAGAGCCCCAAAACGGCCCGTGAGGGCCCCAAGACGGCCCAAGGACCCAAAACGGCCCAAGTGGCCCCAAAGACGGCTTCAAGAGTGGGCTCAGATGTAGGATCCGAACGGACATTTCGAGCCCTTGGTCCCGATGGGGCCCCCCAGGAGGCCCCAGAAGGCGCCCAAGAGGCCCAAAGAGGTCCCGAAGAGGCCTCCGAGAGCGCTCCGAAGAGATCCCAAGAAGCATCCCTGAGAACTCTGACCCGAATTCCAGGCACGGTGGTGGGATGGGCCGAAGACCAGTAGACACACGCATGAAAATTCATGTAGTCGAAAAACAATGGACATGAATCGGGGTCATGATGCTCACCGGCTTTCCTCCTGCTCCGGCTGCTCATCCCCCTCTTCCGACTCTGTCAGGCTATCGACCTCCTTATCCTCCTCTTCCACCCATTCCTTCTTCCATCTACCCCTTCGAGAAACCGGAATTCACATCGCCGAACGGAATGCTGCTAAGCACCGTCCTCGTACTTGAGAGGCTCCTGGCTCGGGGGGAAAATGAGGATAGGGGACGACGAGGACGAGGCATCGGAGGAGCGAGGAAGGCGGGAATGAGGAGGCGGAGGAGCATGAGGAGCATGAGGAGGAGGAGGAGGAGGAGGAGGAGGAGGAGGAGGAGGAGGAGGAGGAGGAGGAGGAGAAGGACGGATGATGATGATGATGATGATGATGATGATGATGATGATGATGATGATGATGATGATGATGATGATGATGATGATGATGAGGAGGAGGAGGAGGAGGAGGAGAAGGAGGAGGAGATGGGGGATAAGGAGGAAGATGATGAGGATGAGGATGACGATGATGATGATGAGGAGGAGGAGGAGGAGGAGGAAGAGGAGAGATGAGCTTATTCAAAGGCGTGGGAAGACACGTGGAAGACAATGTTGCTCTTCGTGCAGGCTTGTCGGCACCTCTCGCTTCCTCGCCTCCCTCCTTCTCCTGCCTCCCTCGTCCCCCCCTTCCTCGAAGCCTCGAAGCTGCAGGCACTGGTGTCTGTCCTCGACGCTACCCTCCCCTCCCCTCCTCGGCGGCCATCGCGGCCAAGGAGGGCGGACAAAATTACACCTAGCTCTCAATTGAAGAACCTCGCTGTGTGGGCGCCGTCCGCTGGGGGGGCCCGGCGGATCGTGACGGTCCTCTCCTCTCCTCTCCTTTCCTCTCCTCTCCTCTCCTCTCCGTTCCTACCCCCTCCCCCTGCTTCTCCTCCCCCTCTTCCTTCCTACTCAATCCTCCTCTGCCGCCTCCTCCCTCATCCTCGTCGTCCTCCTCCCTCCGCTCCCTCCTCCTCCTCCGCCTCGTCCTCGGTATCCTCCTCCCTCCTCCTGCCTCCTCCTCCTCCTCCTCCTCTCTCCTATCCTCCCTCCTCCTCCTTCCTTCCTCCTCCTCCTCCTCCTCCTCCTCCTCGCCTCCCCGTTCCTCCTCCTCCTTCCGTCCTCCTCCTCCTCCTCCTCCTCTTCTCCTCCTCCTCCTCCTCCTCCTCCTTCCTCCTCCTCTCCTCTCCTCCTCCTCCTCCTCTCTCCTCCTCCCTCCTCCTCCTCCTCCTCCTCCGCCTCCTCCCCCCTCCTCCTCTCCCCTCCTCCTCCTCCTCCCCCCTCCTCCTCCTCCTCCCTTCCTCCTCCTCCTCCTCCTCCTCCTCCTTCCTCCTCCTCCTCTGCTCCTCCTCCATCCTCCTCCTCCTCCTCCTTCCTCCTCCCATCCCCTCCTGATCCTCCTGCTCCTCCTGCTCCTCCTGCATCCTCCTCCTTACCCTCTCTCCTCCATCCTCGTCCTCCCCTAACCCGCTTGTTTTCTTCCGCCTCTAAGCCGCCTCTTTCTTCTTTCTTGCCCCTCCTCCTCCTCCTCTCCTCCTCCTCCTCCTCTTTCTCTTCCTTCTCTTCATCCTCCTCCTTCTACGTGCTCTTAGACGGAGCCAAAAAGAGGATACATTCGGGTGAAGATAGATTGAGAATCTCTGAGATCCCGCGGCTCTGGAGGATGTGTCGGGCGCCGCGGCTTTCCGAGAGCGTTCTGGAACGCTCTGAGAGCGGTCCGGGACGCTCTGGAACGGATTAATCTTCGTCCTAGCCCCGTCCGATGCTCTCTTCTTGTCTGCCTACTCCTTGTCCTCCTCCTCATTGCTCCTCTTTCTCCGCCCGCATTCCCCTCCTCCTCCTCCTCCTCCTCCTTCTCCTCCTCCTCCTCTTCCTCCTCCCCGCCCTCCTTCTCTTGAGTCACCGCGCTGCCGCTGCCTCCCCCATCCCCCCTCCCCCCTCCCACCCTCCTCCTCCTCCTCCTCCTCCTCCTCCTCCTCCTCCTCCTCCTCCTTCTGTTCCTTCCTTTTTCCCTCCTCCCCTTTCTCTCTCCTCCCCTCCTCCGTCCTCCCTCGCTCCTCGTACAAGCCCTTCGGTACCTCGTCGCCCTCGTTCCCGTGCGGCGGCTCGCCCCCGATGTAGACGCACTCGGCGGCGCGCGCGGCGGGTCCGGGGACAAAATCCCCGCCTCCTCCACCGTCCCCCGCTCTCCTCCATCCTGGCTCCCCTCCTATGCCTTCACTCCCCCACTCCTCTCACTCGTTCCCCTCTTCCCTCCTTCTTCCGCCTCCCTCCTCGCTCCTCTGCGCCACCTCTCCCCTCACCTCCTCCCCTCCCCCGCCTCCCATAGGCGGGATTTCCCCCCTCATGCTTTCTCCCTTCCCCCTCCCCCGTCCCCCGTCCCCCCTCCTTTTCTCCTTCTCCACCTCCTCCTCCTCCTCCTCCTGCCTCCTCCTCCTGCTCCTCGTCTTCTCTCTTTTACGTCTTTGAGCTGCCCCGTCAGAGGATTGAAGTCCTTCAGTTTCCTTCGCATCTTCTCCTCCGTTTAGTGTTCCTCTCTCTCTCTCTCTCTTCCTCTGTCTCCTCCTCCTCCTTCCTTCCTCGCCACATCCTCCTCTTCTTCCTCCTCCTCCTCCTCGCCTCCTCTCTTCCGCTTTTTTTTTTTTTTTTTCTCTCTCTCTCTCTCTCTCTCCTCCTCCGCCTCCTCCTCCTCCTCCTGCCTCCTCCTCTTGCTCCTCGTCTTCTCTCTTTTACGTTTTCAAGCTGCCCCGTCAGAGGATTGAAGTTCTTCATCTTCTCCTCCGTTTAGTGTTCCTCTCTCTCTCTCTCTTCCTCTTTCTCCTCCTCCTCCTCCTTCTCCCCCTCCTCCTCCTCCTCCTCCTCCTCCGCCTCCCGCTCCTCCTCCGCCTCCGCCTCTTCTTTTCTCTCCTTCTTCTCTCTCTCGCTCCTCCTCCCCCTCCTCCTCCTCCTCCTCCTCCTCCTCCTCCTCCTCCTCCTCCTCCTCCCCCTCCTCCTCCTCCTCCTCCTCCTCCTCCTCCTCCTCCTCCTCGCACACCCTCCCCTTTTTCAGTGGAGGGTGGAGTTGACGAGGACGAGGAGTGATAGCACCAGGACGACGTCGCCGCCGCCCACCTGCTCCTCCTCGCTCATTCCTGCCCTGCTCCCTCCTACTCCCTGCCCCCTCCGAGGACGCAAGCGAGTCCAGCACGAAGGCCTCAAGGATCTCCATGGGCCCATCCCGACGCACTCCAAGCGTGTCCCGGGAGCCGCGCCCGCTCCAGGAGCGCCCTGCAAGAAGGCTCGGGGAGCGCCCTGGATCAGCACGCTCCTGCTCTGGGCTCGAGCTGCACAGTGTTTTTCGTTCTCCTTGGGTTTTCGCTTTCCTTCGCTCTGTCTTCGTTCCTCTTCCTTTGCTGCGAAACGAAATCGAAACGAAAACGGTCCACGAAATCGCCAAGACGCAGTTTAGCTCGAGCCGCCCTGCTCCTGCCTCGAGGCCGCCCCGCGCCCTCCCCCGGTCGGGTCGGGTGACGGGTCGGGTCGGGTCGGGTGACGGGTTGGTTAGCGGCGCGCACAAGGGCCCGACATCTTAGATGGCGGCTCCTTCTTAGATGGCGCGGGCCCGACATCTAGTCAGACAAGGCCCGCGCCTTCTGAGAAGCGGGGTGCTTCTAAAAAGCCTTCCTCCCTCCCCCTACCCCCTTGTGCGCGCCGCTAACCAACCTGTCACCCGACCCGACCGGGAGAGGGGAGCGCTGGCCAGGGGGGGGGGGCGGGGCGGCCTCGAGCGAAACTGCGTCTTGGCGACGCCCCCCCCGCTGCGCGCGGCCGAGTGAGGGGATGGTTAGCGAGCCGCGGCCGAGTAAGGGGAGGGTTAGCGAGGCAGCTCGTGCAGCTGGACTTCCTGGCGCCTCCCGGCGCCGGGCGCCACGTGCCGGGCGGCGGGGTCGAGACCAGCGCTGGGTACATCAGACTTCGTACCCTCCTCGTCCCCCTCCTCCTCCTCCTCCTCCTCCTCCTCCTCCCTCCTCCTCCCCTCCTCCTCCTCCTCCTCCTCCTCCTCCTCCTCCTCCTCCTCCTCCTCCTTCTCGTCCTCGTCCTCCTCCTCCTCCGCCTCCTCCTCGGTCTTCGTCCTCCTCCTCCTCCTCCTCCTCCTCCTCCTCCTCCTCTCCTCTTCCCCCTCTCCCTCCCGCTGCCCCCCCCCCTCCCCTCCCCTCCGCCTCCTCCTCCCCCCCCTCCCCCTCCTCCTCCTCCTCCTCCTCCTCCTCCTCCTCCTCCTCCTCCTCCTCCTCTCCTCCTCCTCCCGTCCTGCCCGCCCCCCCCCCCCTGGCCACGAGCGCCCCCCATGTCGCCGCCTCCAGGCGGTGCGTGGTCTTCTTGCAATTCTGCGCCGTGCGCGGCGGGGAGACCCGGCGAGGAGGAGGAGGAGCAGGAGGAGGAGGAGGAGGAGGAGGAGGAGGAGGAGGAGGAGTCCTGGCTCTCCTCCTTCCTTCTTCCACCTCCTTCCTTCCTCTCCTCCGACGCCTCTCCCTCTTATTCCTCCTCGTTCGTTCTGTAGTCGCTCAGTGGTAGCGCAGTGGTGAGAGGTAACCTGCGCAAGGGAAACGATGCTGGACCAACTGGCCGCCAGGCAACTCTACCAATATACAACTGTTCCTCCTCCCCCTCCTCCCCGTGCCTACATCATTTTCATTCAAGCAAGCTCAATGATCGCAGACACTCAATTAAGGCACGCACAGAGAAACAATCGAATTTGATTCGTTGGATTGATCACATCGGTTGCGACAAATATCTCTCACATTCAGTTCCGTCGTCGATGGTATAGTGTAGACAGTTCCGAGGTGACAACTTTATGTTCCAGTCTGTGAGATGTGACTGGCCACGACCTCGCTGGTCACATTTAGTCCCTGGTTCATCCGTCGAACTCACACTGCGCGCCGAGACACCAGTTGAAACGTTTATGCCATACATCGGGTATCATGTTGCGTCATTGCCAACGATCAGCTCGTAGAGCCACGCCAGAACAACATGAACTGACTGATATCACATCTGTTGGTATCAACATCCGTACCGTTCCATCGAGGACACCTACGGGGTATCTGTAACCAACGATTTTGCTTCTCGATCATGACCAACGTTGGTGCCCTATGAAAGAACACAGCCAGTTGGACCAGCGCAAGCCGTCACTGCCATTCTTGTCCTCTTCATCGCCTCGACGAATGGGGAAATTTCTGCACCTCCCCTTCCTCCTTCTCTGCCTCCCCCAACTCCGCCTCCTCCTCCTCCTCCTCCTCCTCCTCCTCCCCCTCGTCGTCGCCCTCCTCTTCCTCCTCCTCCGCCTCGTCGTCGCCCTCCTCTTCCTCCTCCTCCCCCTCCTCTTCCGCCTCCGCCCCCTCTTCCCGTTTCCACACCTTCTCCTCCCGTTGCCGCTCCCCCTCCCTCCCCTCCCGGCCTTTCCCTCCCCCCTGGAACAAGCCGGAATGTGGCATTGTAACCACGCGTGCCAAATAAGACCAACCCAAACATCCTGGGCGGCTCCATTGTGAAGGCCTTACGGCCGGTGCCGCCGACCCTGAAGGTTTTGGCCGTCGATGGCGACGGGATGTGTGATCACAGGAAGGAGCTGAAGGACAACGTGACAGGGTAATTAGGCGGAGGAAGTGTGTGAGGAGGAGGAGGAGGATGAGGAGGAGGAGGACCAGTAAGACCAACCCAAACATCCTGGGCGGCTCCATAATTTCGGCACGTACGCCCCCGACCCCCTCCCGGGAACCGGCCGCTCGTCTCGGACAACTGTTTGACGGCCCCAGGGCCCGAGAACAGCCCCCCCGACGCCGAGAACGGCGAGAACGGCGAGAAATCGGCACCTCCTCCTCCTGCTCCCTCTCCTCCTCCTCCTCCTCCTCGTCCTCCTCTTCCTCCTCCTCTTCCTCCTCCTCCTGCCCTTCCTCTACCCCTCCTCCTCATTCCCCTCCTCCTGCTGCTCCTCCTCCTCCTCCTCCTCCACTGCCCTCCCCCTCCCCTCCCCCTCCCCCTCCCCCTCCCCTCCTCCTCCTCCTCCTTCTTCTTTTTCTTCTTCTTCTTCTCCTTCTCCTCCTCCTCCTCCTCCACCTCCTCCTCCTCCTCCTCCGCGTCCTACTTCCTGCCTGCTCCCTGCGCTCCCGGATAGCGCTGGCCAGAGACCCCAGCCGGCGTGTCCTGCCCCCCCCCCCTGGGATGGATGCTGCAAGGTGACCAGGCGCCATGCAATGGACATCCTTTCTGGGGATCGGCGCAAAGCGTTGGATGGGAGGGCGCGGACATCTGTTTGTAGAGCGCTTGGACCGCCTTCGGCCTGGAGGACGATGCGGATGAGGATGAGCGCGAGCGAGTGAGAAGATGCGCGGCGCTGCGGAGAGAAGGCAAGGCCCCACCAATACAGGAGGGCTTGGCGCACTTGACGAGTTCCGAAGACCCTGCTCATCCCTGCTTGTGGGGGGTCGCGAGGGCAGACGAGCTCATTGGGCGAAACGTCGACCTGGAATCGGCGTTTCAATGCCGACAGAGCGGCAGCAGGCCGCCGACAGCGAGACCGAACGTTTTGTGGGTGTTGCTTCATGGGGGGGCCGCAGTTGGGGGGGCGAAGAACCTTGCACCTTTCGTGCCCCTTTCTTCCCCCATGTATGAGGGGACAGCGAGCGACCACAACCACATCGAGGACACACCCTGGGAGATGTCTTGCGCATGCGAAGAATACATTGTCGGAAAAGAGAAACCAGCTTCGTACTGGTTGTGGTCGATGTGGCGTCCCAGGAGGGCCAACTCGACCACAACCACAACCAAAGTGCTCATGTCGAGGTCGGTGGGTTCTCCTCCGAGGGGCACTCCCGAGAAATCCACGTAATTGCGGTCGTGGTTCTTTGTTATGCCGGGAACATACTCCGGATTAACAACAATAAAGGGGTGGTGGTCTGTTCTGGGGGGGGGGGCGATTTTCTCCGTCTTCGAGGGGCCTAAAACTGCCCGTCTGGGAGGGCTGTGAGTCCCCTCCTGCTCTTAAGCGGAATCTGCACCCCCTCCTCCTCCTCCTCCTCCTCGTCCTCGTCCTCCTCCTCCTCCTTCTCCTCCTTCTCCTGCTCCTCCTCCTCCTCCTCCTCCTCCTCCTCCTCCTCCTCCTCACACCGCGCCCCGCAGTGCGCGACGCGCGGCTACCTTCGCGCCCTCGCGCCGCCGCCCTGTCGGGCTCCCAGACGCGGGCCCACCAGCGGAGACCTGGCCGACCTCCGCTGCGTGAGCCCCGACCCCTCCGCGCTCCCTCCTCGCTCCCTCCTCGCTCCCTCCTCCTCCTCCTCCTCGCTCCCTCCTCCTCCTCCTCCTCCTCCTCCTCCTCCTCCTCCTCCTCGGGGCTGGGGGGCTGGCGAGGCCTTCCAGCAGCCCTTGGGGCACTCGCCGCGCTTCTTCGCCCTGTAGTCCTCCTCTTGCCTTGCCGCGGGGGCGGAGGACGGAGGAGGACAAAGGGGGAGGAGAGGGAACACTCCAGGCGCCGTGATGTCCGCCGACCCCCGCTTGCCAGGGGTGGGGAGGCGTGTGAGATGATTGGCCGTCTCCCCCTTCCCATTTCCCCCCTGGAGCCCCACATCGCATCGGATGGGGGGGGCGGGGCGGGGGGAGGGGGGGGGTGCAGTGCACCCCAGGAGCCCTCTGGAGCCTTGGAAGACGCCCAAGGACGGCCCCATGAGCGACGAGATAATCCAAGAACGCGTCGAAACGGCCCAGGGCAACCCCGCGACGGTCCAAGACGGCTTCAGGGGCCTCGCGGCCCAAAGGCGGCCCAAGGGTGTCCCCAGAGGGCCGCAGAGAGGGCCCCAACATTCCCTGAGGAGGACGCGCATGTTCGACATTCACGCCTTTTTCGTCTTAACAGCGTCCACTGCGGGCCCAAGGAGCCCTAATCAGCCCCCAATTTCGTCCCAAGACAGCCCATGAACTGCCCAAGGAGGCTCCAAGGCGGCCCACTAGAGCCCCAAGAGGGCCCCCAAGATGGCCCCAGGCCCCCGCACGACAGCCCAGGAGGGCTCCAAGAGGGGCAACACGAACTGACATCTTGAGTCTTTCGAGTCTTTCCCCGCTGTGATGACCACAAGAGATCTTGTGATGCGATCCCCGAGGCGCCTCCAAGAGGCCCCCAAAGGCTCCCGAGACGCTCGTAAGCGCCCCCCCAAGAGGTCCCACATCCATGATCAGCGCAACTCGCCTTGGCATCGTTGTGATGGGCTGGTGGGCTTATGGGAAGGGTCTAGAACATGGAGAATGAAGATGAAAAACAATGTTGGAGGGGACCAACTCAGGGGGGGAAACATCGAGCTTGAATCCGCGATACATCGCAGATACCCGTCCCTCACGTTGCCCCTGAGAAGAGCACAGAGAATGAAGAGGATGCGCCTGTCGACAAGAAGGCAACGGTCCCTGGGCCCAGTGCACTTGTGCACGCCGCAGTAGCCGTCATGCTCCTGGGCGCAGCGGGGAGCAAGGCATACCCTTGTTAGGATGACAAGCATACCCCCATACGTCGCTGCCCGTCATCAGGATGCCAAGTAATGACGCAACGATCTTGGATGTTGCAACTGATACGACAACGACTCAGGGCACGGACAGCTGTCACCGTCTGGGAGATCCAACAGCCTCGCGCTTCCCACTGCGTCCAGCGCGAAATGCGGTCATCGTCGCCCCCTCGCACCGCCCCCTGGAGAAGAGCACGTCTCTGGCCCACACAACGAGGCGCGGTTATCTTTGCGCTCCCGCGGGTTGCCTGAACCATTCCCCTCTTGCTTCTTCCGTTCAGCAGAGAATTAGGCGTTGGCACCTACAATATTGCACGGCTCTGACGCAATCCGAAACGACACACCTTCCCAAACTGCAGTGTAGCGCAAGCACTTCACGACATGTATGCGACACCCACACAACACAATATGCACATACTTGCATGACGCATGGACAAACACGGGCGAGCCTACAGACGGGGCACGAGGGTAGTATACGTATGACGATGAGACAGTTGACGAGGCGAAGAGAAGGAATGACAGCGAGGAGGCTACGAGGGTGGCGATGAGGATGAAGAGGACGATCACGAGGACAGGAAGGAGGAGGAGGAGGAGGAGGAGGAGGAGGCGGAGGAGGAGGAGGAGGAGGAGGAGGAGGAGGGAGAGGAGGACGGCGACGAGGCCAACGAGGACGACAGGGAGGAGAGCGAGGGGGCTGGCTGGACGACGAAGACGATGACGATTTCACCAGTTTGCCAGGAGTGACTCATCTGTCAGTCTCCAGCGGAGCGAGCTCCTCACAGAGAGCGGGCCGCGGCCAACACGAGAGGACGCGGAGGCCTCGTCCGCCCGCTATTGTGGAGAGCCCCTGGGCAAAACGGCTCGGCACTCTGCGCGGAGCGCGAACCTTCGCGCTCCCGCGCGGCCGCTCTGGAGGAGGATTCAATTATATTATATGCCCTTCGAGTCCCCTGCAGGCCGCATCACTCTGGAGGAGGAGGAGGAGGAAAATGAGGAGGAGGAGGAAGAGGAGGAGGAGAAGGAGGAACATGAGGAGGAGGAGGAGGAGGAGGAGGAGGAGGAGGAGGAGGAGGAGGAGGAGGAGAGGGGCCCAAACCGCGAAGCATGGTCACCTCTGCGTCGCGTCCAGGCCTTTCCCTCGGGGCCCACCGTCGGGAGAGACACAGCGGCCGCAGCCCGACGAGGAGAGCAGCTTCCTCCCTGGCCTGCCCACAGGGCGCAATGAATTTTCTTCGTTGGCCCTGCTGCCTTTGCCATTCGCCTTACGCCGGGCATGTCCTGCTACGGGCGGATTTTGGAAGAAAAATGATACCGGAGAAAAGCCCAATCAGATTTTTGTTGGGGCGATGGGGCTGTACGGGCTATATGGCTATAGGGGTATAGTGCTATAGGGATATTGGGCTATTGGGGTATAAGGGCTATAGGACTATAGGGCTATAGGGCTATATGGCTATAGATCTATAGGTCTATAGGGCTATAGGCTATAGGGCTCTAGAGCTCTAGGGCTCTAGGGCTATAGGGCCATAGATCTATAGGGCTATCGGGCTATCGGGCTATTGAGCTATAAGGCTATATGGGCTATATGGGCTATTGGGCTATTGGGCTATAGAGCTATAAGGTTATAGGGCTATATGGCTATAGGGTACCAAGGGACCCCCGGGCACCTCCGGGCACTCCCGAGCACCCGGGCACCCACGGGGACCCGGGCACCCGGCCACCGTACTCGGGCACCCGGGCACCCCCGGGCACCCCCGGGCACCTGGCCTCCGGCCACCAAATCGGCGCCGCACCTCACCTAACCATATGAATCCTCTAGGACCCATACAGAAGCAAGCTCTGATTGGGGAATGAAAAAGAATCAAACTATACTAAAAAGTAATCCCAAACTAGTCGAACAATCGTCACGGCACTATTGTTTTTGCTATTCTCGGATATTCCTCCTGTAGAGGGACGTGCCCGACTTCACATTAGCCGCCGAGAAGGAAAAGCACAACGCTGTGAAATGCTATGCTTCTTTCGCGCGAGCCGCACGGCGGCCTGGATGCGCGTGCAGTCCCAGGGCCCCAGGACTACTATAGGGCGGAGCGGCGGCGGGCAGCGCGCGCGGAGCGCCCTTCCAGAAGGACGCTCCCTCCAGGAACATGCACGCACAAGCCCTGAGGCCCCACGAGGCATCCCTGAAGACTCTGCCCCACGTCGGCCGGCAGTCAGGCCTTCCAGATAAATCTGGGCGGATCTCCCAGATCCCCGCGGTGGCTCGAAAGCGCGAAGCAAGCGATGCTACCCACGGAGTCCCTTGCGAGTCGGCCTTGTGTGTCACGAAGCGTTTCGGCGCTGCAACGCTAAAAGGAAACCATGATGAGCATCGAACGGACCTCCCAGAGCTTTGGGAATCCGCCGACCCCTTGTGGGTCTCTAGGCGTGTGAGATAGTTCCCCCCCCTAACCCCCCCCCTGGGACCCCAAACCGGAGATTCGACCCCCCCCCCCCCCGGGCCCACCACGAGCGCATCACGGGGCTCTTTTGGGCCCAAAAGGGGATCAAGACGGGCCAAGAAGGCCCCAAGACTCCTCCAAGACGGCTCACGAGAGCTCCGAGGCGCCAAACGAGCGCTCCCAGACGCCCAAGATGCCCCCAAGACGAGCCTAGAGGCCTCCAAGACGGCCCAAGAGGCCTCCAAGAGCAGTCCTGAGAAGGGCCGAAGCGCCGAAAATCGTCAAATTCCTATGGGAAAACGTACATTTTGATCATATACTACCTGTCGGCCTTCACGGCGTTGAAGACGGTCCCAGAGCACCCCAAGACCGCCCCGAGAGGCCCCCAAGAGGCGCCCAAGTCGGCCCAAGAGGGCGCCAAGACGGCCCAAGAGGCCCCCAAGACAGCCCAAGAGGGCCCCAAGACAGCCCCAAAAGGTGCCCAAGAGGGGGAGCCCGAACCGACAATTCGAGCCTTCCGCCCCAAGACGGCCCCAGAAGGCCCCAAGAGGCCCCAAGAGGCCCCCAAGACGCCCACAAGAGGCCCCAAGAGGCCCCCAAGAGGCTACAAAACGGCCTCAAAACGGCCCCCAAGAGGCTTCGAAACTGCCTCCAAGAGTCCCGCGAGAAGCCCCCCAAGAGATCTCAGGGCCTCGAGATGACCCCAAGCGGATTCCACATGGCCCCAAGAGAGGTCATTATGGACCCCTACACGACTCCCCAGCCCGATTCAAGCGAGCCGGCAAGACCGCCAAGATGAGGGGTCGGCGGATGTGGCGTAAGCCTATAGAATCTCCTGAACACGCGGCAAAGCAAGCATCGAAGATCTTCTGACTCGGGTCAATCCAAATCCGGTTCAGTCAGGCCTTGCAGGATTCCTGCAAAATCCTGCAGGATTCTGCACCCAAGCCTGGGCCAATGCGACCCTGGCCCTGCAGGATCCTGCAAGATCCGGCGCTCTGACTGACTCGGGCTTTGGCAGAACTGGGTTTAGTGGGACCTGGTTTAGCGATGTGTACTGGGGGACGCCCCCCACGCCCAGTCCTACTAACCGGAACTGCCGTCACCTGAAAAAACTAGGGGAACAAAAAGTGGCATAAACATAAAAACTTGGAGGTCCGCGCGGATTTCTCGGATCGGCGCTGGGGCCCCCCGGCGGCGCCTCTGGCGGCGCCTCTGGCGCCGCAAGCGCGCCAGGGAGGGGGGTCCATCGCCGATCCGAGAAATCCGCGCGGACCTCCGAGTTTTTTGTTTGTGTCACTTTTTGTTTCCCTAAAAACACCAGCTACGCCAAACCTGGTTTGGTGATTCTGGCCGCCCCGCTTGCCCCGACCCCCTTCTCAAGGCTCCCGGAAGGAGACACGCGGCGGCGCCCCGGCCCCAGGCCCTCCACGGGAGCGCGGGCGCTTCTCTCCCGAGCCCGCTCGCCGGCCCACAGGGTGGCCAGCCAGACCCGGGCGCACCTTTCCTGCCGGTGTGTCCGGTGTGCTGGCTCAAGATGGCCCCCAAGATGCTCCAAGCGGCCCCCAGACCGCTCCAAGACGGCTCGAGACGGCCACGGGGCCTCGCTGTTTGACTATGCGTGCCTCTTCCTCTCCCCCCCCGTCAGCTCTCGTGGGCATCGTTCCTGGATGGGCTGGCGGGGATACTTTTTTGTCGCAGCCGCAAGCGAAGGCGCAGGCGGCGTCAAAGGTCGACCGGGGCTACGGGCGGAGCCTAATTACCCAGCGAGCGCACTCACGACTGCCAAGGCTGCCGCCGAGGGATGCTGGCGTGGATATATTTTTGTTCGCGAGCGCAAGCGGAGGAGCCGCGCGCCGTCAAAAAATCACAGCGGAGACCTAAAAGCAGCGGCCGGACTGGTGGGGATACTTTTCGGTCGCGGCCGCGAGACAAGGGTCAGGCGGCGAAAGCGAAGTCCGGGACGCGAACTAGGCGAATCTGGTGGGGATACTTTTTTTTTTGTTTGTTTTTTTTGGGGGGGGATACGCGAAGCGGCAAGAATTGCTGTTGCTGTGCCCTCGAGGCCTGTCAACCAACGACTCGGGACGAAGAGCCAGCACGCTGTGGAGGGGTCTGGGCGTCTGAGGGCTCCGCATCAAAGAACCGCAGTGCTGGAGATCGAGGCTTCGTCCTCCTCTTGCTGCTCTCTCTCCTCCTCCTCCTCCTCGTCCTTCGCATCACTTGGCTCCAACTGAACCCAAAGACCTCGATCTCGTTCCTCAAGGGGGATCGAAGGGCGAATCTCTTGGACCTCTGGGGACCTCCCGAGTCCCGGAAGCCGCCAGAGAACTCAGACCTCGGGAGACCTCTGGAAACATCCGTCCTCCCTTCCCCCCCCCTCCCTCCCTCCCTCCCTGCGACCTGCCTTCGCTCTTTCTCCTGCTCCTCCTGCTCATTCTGACGCTGCTGCTGCTGCCTCCGCTGCCGCCCACTCCTCCCTCTCCTTCTCCCCTTTTCCTCCTCCACCTCGTATCCTTCTTCTTCTTCAGCCTCCTCCTCCTCCTCCTCCTCCTCCTCCTCCATCTCCTCCTCCTTCTTTGCGTTGGGCAGGCTTAGGCAATGAAGCTGAAGGTTTTGAACCTCCTCCTCCTCCTCCACGTCCTCTCCCTCCCGTCGTGGGACAAACTAGACGCTCTCAACCAAATCTAGAACCCCTCGCAAAGCCCGTTCAATCCTGGAGAACCTCCTGGGACCCGTCCTACGTGCAGCTCGTCCCCCCAGCCAAATACGCCATGGCATTGCCAATGCGGCGACACGAGATCGGACATGCTTGTCAAACCCAACCCATGTAAATTTCACGCCGTGATATGTATGGCATCGGAACTGAGGACGCAAATGCTGGTAATTCGTGGATCAGGCGCGATTTGCTACGACGGTAACGCATGATAACATGTAAACCAAAGCTCAATACGTTCGTGGGCTCCGAGATCACTTGGCCGTGTTCGATGACGTCCACCCGCTGACCTGCGAACCCTGAGGTATGCAGTGGAAGTGACCCGCCCACTCACCACACTTGAGATTGCCATGAAACGAAGACTATGCATTATTGGGTCTCTCATTGTCTGTGCTCCACTACTCCCACTGCGGTGCTCCTTACGGACTGCGACATCGTGTGACCCACTGCAGACTTGGTGCTGGGGCATTGTGCTGCGCCAGAATCATTTTACCAAGCCGTAAGCATCGGAATCGCTCAATCCAGACCTGGATCATGAAAATCGCAATCAATCAATAATGCACCAACAACGTATCCAAATGCAACATCACGGGTACGTTTTGAAAACCAGACGAGACTCACTCCAAGTTCGGCCTGGCATTCGTGTGTTCGGTTAATGCCCCCCCCCTAACACACAAAAAACACGGCTTCGGAACACTCACCTGGCCCCCTGAGCCAGGAAACAACGTTACCACGAATGCGGAGTGCACCGAGGGAGCAGGAGAGCCTCCCCCTCCTCCTCCTCCTCCTCCTCGCCACCACCTCCTCCTATACGCTGCACCCCAAACACCTCAGCGTGCCTAGGACCCCACCCGCCGCGGACACTGTAGCTTGGGGTGATCCCCCTCCGTCATGCAGCACTTGTGCCACTCCTGGCGGAGACACGGCGGAGAGGGAGGGGAAGGGCGGGGCGGAGGGGAGAGCACGGGGCGGAGGAACACGGGGGAAAGTTTGATCGGCAATGGCCATTCCTCCTCCTCCTCCTCCTCTTCCTCCTCCTCCTCCTCCCTCTCCTCCTCCCTCTCCTCTTCCCTCCTCCTCTTCTCCTCCTCTTCTCCTGCTCCTCCTCCTCCTCCACCTCCTCACTCACTCCTCCTCACTCCTCCGCTCCTCCTCTTCTTCTCTTTCTTCTCCTCCTCCTCTTTCTTCTCCTCCTCCTCCTCCTCCTCCTCCTCCTCCTCCTCCTCCTCCTCCCCGATCCTCCTCGATGTTCGATCCTCCTCCTCGTCGGGCCGCCAGGCAAGGGAGGGGCGGGATTTTGGAGGGGGAGAGGGGAGAGCGGAGGGGAGCCCACGGGGGGAAGTTTGATCGGCAATCGCCGCTCCATGGGGCTCGCAACTCTGAGTAACCAGGACGATAAGAAGAACGATGGCCCGAATTGTTGATCCTCGCCCTGGCTTCGTTTTGCGCGTGTGCACGGCGCGGTACGCGCGGCGCCCCTGGAGGGGAGGAGGATGAGGAGGCGGCGGCGGCGGCGGAGGAGGCGGATGATGAGAACGAGGAGGAGGAGGAGGAGGAAAAGGAGGAGGAGGAGGAGGAGCAGGAGGGAGGATGGAGGAATGATGATATAGGAAAAGGATGGATATAGGAAAAGGATGGGGAAAAGGAGGAGGAGGAGGAGGAGGGGGTGGAGGAGGAGGAGGATAAGGAGGTGATGAGGAGGAGAAGGGAGTGATGGGAGGACGGAGGGGACGAGGAGGGGAGGAGGAGGAGGAGGAGGAGGAAGGGGGAGGAGGAGGAGGAGGAGGAGGAGGAGGAGGAGAGGAGGAGGAGGTGGAGAAGGGGGGAGGAGGAGGAGGAGGAGGGAGGAGGAGGAGGGAGGAGGGCGGGAGGAGGAGAAGGATGACGAGGAGGAAGAGGAGGAGGAGGAGGAGGAGGAGGAGGAGGAGGAGGAGGAGGAGAGGAGGAGGAGGAGGAGAAGGAGGGAGGAGACGGCGGAGGAGGTAAATGAGGAGGAAGAGGAGGAGGAGGGAGGAGGCGCGAGGAGATGGAGGGGGGGAGGAAGAGGAGGAGGAGGGGGGGAGAGAAGAAGGAGGAGGAAAGAGGATCAGCAGAAAGATGAACTGACAACGCCAGTGGAGGAAGAGGAGGAGGAGGAGGGGAGGAGGAGGTTGGAGGAGGAGGAGGGAGGAGGAGGAGGAGGAGGAGGAGGAGGAGGAGGATGAGGGGTGGAGGAGGGAGGAGGAAGAGGAGGAGGGAGGAGGAAGAGGAGGAGGAGGAGGAGAGGCGGAGGAGGAAGCGGAGGAGAAGAAGAGGTGGAGGGCGGAGGAGGGCCCAGAATCGGCGCTGATGCTGCTCATGATGATGCTGGTGATGATGATGGTGATGATGACGGTGACGATGATGATGATGATGATGATTGTGATGATGCTGGTGATGATGATGATGATGACGATGCTGATGATGATGCTGGATGATGATGATGCTGATGCTGTGATGATGCTGATGCGGGAGACGGGGAGGAAGGGGATGGGGAGGGGGCGGACGGAGGAGGAGGAGGACGAGGACGAGAATGAAGCGGGGGAGGAGGAGGAGAAGGAGGAGCACGGGGAGGATGGGGACGCGGATGATGAGGGCTAACACGTATGAGGAGGAGCAACGACGAGGAAGAAGAGGAGGACGATGAAGATGAGGAGGAGGAGGAGGCGGAGGGGGAGCAATGAAAGATGAGGGGGGAGGAGGGAGGAGGGAGGGGAGGAGGAGGAGGAGGAGGAAGAGGAAGGTGCGAGAGGAGACTGGAGGAGGATGCGGAGAGGAAGGAGGAGAAGGAGGAGGAGGAGGAGGAAGAGGAAGAGGAGGAGGAGGAGGACGGCAGAGGCGGAGGAGGAGGACGAGGATGAAGATCAGGAGGAAGAGGAGGAGGAGGAGGAGTGGGAGGAGGAGGAAGGGAACGACGAGGAGGGGGATGATGAGGAGGAGACGGAGGGGGAGGAGGAGTGAGGCGGAGGGAGGAGGATGAGGATGCGGATGAGGAGGATGATGAGGATGATGATGATAAGGAGGAGGAGGAGGACGAGGAGGAGGAGAAGGGAGGAGGATGAGGAGCAGGATGAGGAGCACGATGAGGAGAACGAGGAGGAGGACGATGCGGGATGCTGACGGTGCTGCTGCTGCTGCTGCTGATGCTGAGCAACAGGATGCCGAGGTAGATGGAGCTGATTATGATGCTGCCGATGATGCTGCTGATGATGACGATGCTGACGACGATGATGATGATGACGCTGATGCTGCTGCTGCTGATGAGGAGGCCGAGGAGGAAGATGTGGAGACGGAGAAGGATGCGGAAGACGAGGAAACCCGATGAGGAGGAGGGTGGGGGGGGGATGATGGGGATGGAGGTTGAGGGGAGGAAAGGGATGGTGGCGGAGGAGGAGGAGGAGGAAGAAAAGGAGGAGAAGCGGATGGAGGAGAATAGGATGAGGAGGAGGAGGAGGATGTCAGAGAGGATAAGCGGAGGGGATAAGGGGATGGAGGCGGAGGAGGATGGTGGAGGAGGAGAAAGAGGAGGAGAGAGGAGGATGGAGGAGGAGAGGGAAGGAGGAGGAAGGAGAGAGGAGGCGGAGGAGGAGGAGGAGGAGGAGGAGGAGAGGAGGAGGAGGAGGGAGGTAGGAGGAGGAGAGGAGGAACGAGAGGATGCGCAGTCGGAGGAGGATAGGGGGAGGGGGAAGAGGAGGAGGAGGAAGAGAAGGAGGAGGAGGAGGGAGGAGGACGAGGCGGCGAAGGAGGAGGAGGAGGATCATGAGGAGGATGAGGATGCGGAGGAGGTGGATGGGGAAATTGAGCGATACCAAGGAGGAGGAAGGGGACGAGGGGGACGACGAGGAGAATGAGGAGGAGGAGGCGGATGAGGAAGCAAGGTGATGATAAGGAGAAGGACGAGGAGGAGGAGGATGGAGTGAGGAGAGGAGGAGGAGGAGAGGTATGCAGAAGGCGAGGAGGGGAGGAGAGAGGAGGATGAGGAGTACGCGGAGGAGGATGCGGAGGAGGTGGAGGAGGAGAAGAGGAGGAGAAGAGGAGGAGGGAGGAGAGGGAGGAGGGGAGGAGGAGGGGAGGAGGAGGAGGGGAGGCGGAGAGGAAGAGGAAGAGAAGAGGAGGAGGGAGGAGGAGGAGGAGGAGGAGGAGGAGGAGGAGGAGGAGGAGGAGGAGGAATGAGGAGGAGGAGGAGGAGGAGGAGGAGGGGGAGATATGACAAGAAAGAGTTGATACGGATAAGGGAGGGAAAGAGGAAGAAGGGCGGAGGGGGGAGGAGGAGGCGGAAGGAGGGGAGGAGGAGGAGAGGATGGAAGCCAGAGGATGGAGGAGGATGGAGGAGGAGGGGAAGGAGGAGGAGGAGTGAGGAGGGGAGAGGGGAGAGGGTGGAGGAGGATGGCGGAGGAGGAGGAGGGGGGATAACGAGGAGGAGGAGGAGGGAGGAGGAGAAGGCCCAGTGGAAACCCAAGAGCCATCAACGATGTTGGAATGAACCCTCCCCCCAAGCTCCATCTTCATAGGCCCCTGCAGCGGTTCATTTCCATTGAAGGTGCTGTCTCGTTGGGCGACAACAGTTGGAAGATCCTGAAGCGTGCTAAAACATTGTTCTTGAAATTGTAACGCCACGCACCAATCTGACTGCTGCGTCTTGACGATCCAGAATCGTGCCCAGACGCCATTTGCGGGACTTCAACGCAACGAATCAACATACCTGCTGCGCCCGCATAATCTTGAACCCTTCCAAATCACCATTTCTGGTACGCTAATCATGGGAGTCCGTGAAACTCTGGCAATAAACAACGATTGCGCGCGACGCTAAGCGATCACCACAAGTTGAAAACCACCCGCCTTCAATCGGTGAAACCCTGGCAAATTGTCAAACCGAATGTGCGCGGTGCTACGGCGAGAACCACATTTTGAAAACGACCCGCCCTCAATCCGTGAAGATGTTGCAATTTTGTTAAAGGAATGTGCGCGGCGCTAAGGCGAGAGCTACACTTTGAAAACGGCCCGCCCTCCATATGTGAAACTGTTGTCCCGTTTTGAACTTCAGAGTCATCGATGGCGGGAAAGTCTCAGGCGAAACGCCAGGCCCCTCCTAAAAACTGGCCTCGGGGTGAACCAGGGAGGAGTTATCTATAAGGAGGAGGTATGGAGGAGTATGCGGAGGAGGAGGAGGAAGAAGGAGGCGGATGATGTGGAGGAGGAGGAGGAAGAGGAGAAAGAAGAGGAGGAGGAGGAGGAAACAGGATAACTAAGAGGGGGAGGAGGAGGAGGAGGAGACAAGACAAGACAAGACATCGCAATGGAGCTCCGAATCGATAATGAATCGCAAAATCGCTGAGCTCTGCGCGCTGCTTCTGCAGCTTGACCTCGCTCGATAACGCAGGAGGCCTGTCGAGCCCCGCCCGCGCGGCCCCATACTGAGCGGCCCCCCTCAAGTCGGCGCGCAGCCTGGGAGGGGGGTGCCCAGCATCGGGGACCAACCTCAAACAACCGCACCCTCGCGGACAAACCTGATGGGACGAGCGGGGGCCCTCTCAGCCCCTTGCTCGGAGAAAGGAGGAGGAGGATCAGACGAGAGGGGAGTGCAAGGTTGTCCAGGGTGCGAATTATCGCCTTTGGCCTTTCCTTTCCCCCCGTCCCCCCGTCCCGTACGACGACTACGACCCCGCCCCTTCCCTCTAGTCGGCTCAGCTCGGGGGTGAACCATGACAGGGACGAGGGGGAGGGCAGGGTTGCTGTAGGTGGTAACCTCAACCTCTTGCTGAAACACCTCCCTCGAAACCTCGCCTCGCTGTATTAAACTTTGCAACCGAGCGGAGCCTGCAAGATTACTCTGCGCTGACTGAGACAGGCGGCGGCGGGCGACAGCCCCAGGCTCAGGTGTTGTAGCTGAAGG